TATGTTCATGGTAGCATTATTTACAGCAGCCAAGATTTGAAAGAGACCCAAGTGCCCATCAATAGATGAGTGGATAAAAGGGCTCTGATACATCTAAACAATTGAATACTACTCAGCTGTTAAAAAAAAAAAAAAGTAAGAAATCTTACCTTTTGTGACAGCATGGATAAACCTAGATAATACTATGCTAAGTGAAATGAACTAGTCAGAAAAAGACAAATGCCACTTATATGTGGAATCTAAAGAATAAAATAAGCTAACAAAAAAATAAAAACAGACTCATAGATAAAGAGGACAGGCTGATAGCTGTTAGAGGGGAGGAGAGCTGGGTAAAAATAGTCAAGGATTAAGCAAAACCCCCACAAATTCATAGACATAGACAACAATCTGGTGATGATCAGAGGTAAAGGGGCTGAGGGAGGTAGATGAAGGTAAAGGAGAGATAAATGGTGATGGAAGGAGACTTGACTTAGGGTAGTAAACATACAATACAGTACACAGATTATATATTATAGAATTGAAACCTATATAATTTTATTAACCTGCCACATCAATAAATTAAAAAATAAAATATAAAGTTCTAAACATAATAAAATAAAATGAATAGCATATGTAATACTTGCAACAATAAAGATTAAAAAATAAAGATAGGGCTGAAACCAGTTTGGCTCAGTGGATAGAGCGTTGGCCTGCAGACTGAAAAGTCCCAGGTTCGATTCTAGTCAAGGGCATGTACCTTGGTTGTAGGCACATCCTCAGTAGGGGGTGTGCAAGAGGCAGCTGATCGATGATTCTCTCTCATCAATGTTTCTAACTCTCTATCCTCTCTCTTCCTCTCTGTAAAAAATCAATTAAAAATATAAAAAAAAATAGAATAAATAAAAATAATAATAAAGGTAGGGAGAAACCAAGATGGCAGCATAGGTAAACACCCAAATTGCTGCCTTGCATAAAAATATCAAAACTACAACTAAAAGATAAATGGACACCATCCAGAACCACAGAAAACCTGGCTGAGTGGAAACTCTACAACTAGAAGGAAAGAGGAAAACACATTAAAAATCAGAGGAGCTACAAAAGGCTGAGGTACAGAGATGCGCAAGCATGCGGAGAGGATGGATGGCTAAGTGCAAGGCTGGCTTTCTAAAGTAGGAAGAAGATGGAAGCTCCCAAGTGTGCAGAACTCCAGTTCCGGCAGAGTTTCTGGGAGCCCAGATTCATTCATTGGTGGAGAAACTGGACTGTCAGGAAAAGAGAAAACACACTGAGATTCAGGGGAGCTGCAGAGGTAAAGGTCGGGAGGCGTGCGCACAGAGAGGACTGACTGCTGAGTGCACAGGCGACTGAGTGCACAGCTCACTTTCTAAAGCAAGAGGGAGACGGAAGCTCCCGACTGCGCTGAACTCCAATTCCGGGTGAGTTTCTGGGAACCCAGACTCATTCGGGGAGAAACTTGACTGTTTGGCAGTGGATGAAATTCAAGGGCAGCTTTCTCTCAGAGGTGCTCACAGCAATTACTGAGGGACACTGAGACCCAGGGGCCTCAAAGGGCAGGTCTGACTGGAAGCCAAGGATATCTGCTCTGCCCTGAGACTCAGCTCCATCCAAGCTGAGCACAGAGGCTTTTGCAATTTTGCAAGTCTTGTCTCATAATGGTGTCTCCAGCACAGAAGTTCCCCAAGCATAGACAAAGCTGATCCTCACAGCCAGTTGGCCTGGAGGTCAACTCCTCCCAGTGATAAAAACAACAATCAAGAAGACTTCATTACAAAAAGGTTGTGCACACAGTCCGCAAAGAGGTGCACCAAAAGTGTCCACCTCAAGTAACTGGGGGAGGCTGAGCCACTGGGCCCTATAGAACACCTACCACACAAAGCTACTCAGGGAAGCAGCAAAAAATGCAGACAATGAAACAGAACACAAATGAAATAAATGTAGGAAAGCAAATGATAGGATATAGAGTTCAAAACCATGGTTATAAGGTTTTTCAAGAATTTCCTAGGGAAGGCTGATAAATTTAGCGAGACCCTCGAGGATATGAAAAAGAACCGACCAGAAATTAAACATACACTGTCTGAAATAAAAAATATAATACAGAGAACTAACAGCAGTCTAGAGGACCGCAAAAATCAAGTCAAACATTTGAAATACAAAGAAACAAAAAATATTCAACCGGAAAAGGAAAAAGAAAAAAGAATCCAAAAACTTGAAGATAGTGTAAGGAGCCTCTGGGCACTATTTTGTGGACCCAACATTTAGAATATATAGCGTGTCACACATATGGGTGGCCCGTTCAGTGTGGTGAAGAGCCAGAACTGATCACTGTCAGCTTCTAGGTAGAGTCAGAGTGAGAGAATGTGGATCATGCAGCAATAGGCAACTGCTCCACTCCCTTCTGTGAGCATGCAGGAAGTCATCGGTAGTGCTGGCGCACATTTCTGGTATGGAGATGTGGGACATTTCTCTTTATATCTTGCCCGCTGCATGAAATTCATGCATGGGTCGGGGAGGGGTGGAGGGGAGAATCCCACAGCCAGGCCTGTTCCCTCTCACAATCAGGGACCCTTCCCATTCATGCCTAAACTGGCAGCCAGACATCCATCTTGCAATCCAGGAACTATGGCTCCTAACTGCTCACCTGCCTGCCTGCATGCCTGCCTGATCACCCCTAACCACTCTGCCTGCCCTCCTCATCATCCATAACCACTGTTGTGGCCTGGCTCCCTTCCTCTCAGCCTGCCTGCCTGCCAGCCTGCTCACCCCTAACCACTCTGCCTGGCTGCCGGATCACCCCGTCACTGGTGGCTGCCTGGCTCCCTCCCTCTCAGCCTTCGGAGGGCAGGTGACAGGCTGCCTGGGCCAGGTCCCTCCCTCACAGCCACAGCGGCTCCTTGGATCCTGTGGCCTCCGTCCTCCCAGAGGAGCTGGAAGGTCCAGACGAAGGATGGAGGTCCCGAATGACTTCTGCTCTATCTTTTCAGCATATTACCCTTCTATCATATGGATGGTCCCTGTGACCCTGCTCACTTCTATTCTCTAATTGCTGGGTCTAGCTGACCCAAAGACACTCACAATGGACAACTCTGAGGCCCCAGAGCCAGAGCCTCATCTCTCCTGGTCCCAGTACTTTGCCAGGAGCCTCTTTAAATGCTGAGGGTCTCCTTGTGGCAAGAGACATAGCCTTGCCTCAGAACATTAGGGTCTGTGTTGTGATCCTGGAGTAGGAAGGCCATGAACTCCCCTCAGCACCTTGTCCTACTACAGATACCTCTCAGGTCATACATTTGCTGGCTTTTATGAACCAAGAGTGAGATCCAGCCACATTCACCCAATCAGGTATTGTCTATCACTGCTTTCACACTACAACAGCAGAGCTGAGGAGTTGCAACAGACTTCTGATCTGCAAAGCCTGAAGTCTCACACGGTACCTTGTTCATTTGCTACAATGAGATCCTGATGCAGAGATCTATCTCATTTTCCACAACCCAAGAGGAGACTGGAAAGTGTTCGCACTGGTTAGATTTATTTTTCAAGTAGTTGGAGAGCTAATTGCAAAAATTGTAACAATTGAAAAGTGAAAATGGAACCAAATATTGAAAACTGTGCAGAATTGACAAACTTCTCATGGAATTTAGGACATGAACATAGCATCTGTTGATTCCTCTTGACCTCCTGCAGGTCTCTGCATTTGCTGTAAGGAGTGCAACTCCTGGGGGCCAACAGGTGCACTGCTGGAGGCGGAAAGGCAGCCACACTTCCAGAAGCTATTGAGCATCCTCTGACACCTGAAAAGAAACACATGTTTGTCTCAGGGGCTGAGAAAATCCTGGGTCAGTTCCCTGGGCTACCTACCCCAAATCCTTCCAGCTCAGAGCCCCACCCTCACTGAGAGTCAGTATTTTCCATCAGCTCTCACCACCACCCTAGGCCCTACAGCTTGTACCCACATCCTACCACCTTTATCACAAAGCAAGTCAGATCCAAAGACAGGTGGGGCTCAGGACTTAAGGTGCAAATGAACTGTGATGCTCCCTCTACTGATGTTTTGATTCTAAAAAGGCCCAGAGGAGCCTTGTCCAAAGAGAGAGGCCTGCATCCTGGTTCCTCTACCAGGGAACCGTTGTGGTTGTGGAAAGATCCTTGGTTGGCCTGCTCTTCTAACCCTGGTAACAGCTCTGAGAGTGAGTGTCCCTATCCTGCCCCATGGATTCCTGCTCCAGTCACCAGGCAGCATCCAACTCCACCAGCAGCTCAGCCACACCTATTCCTGGAGTCACCTTTGCTCAAGGCAGGAGGCACACAGTGACTCAGGATTTGGAGTGTGGAGGAAGCTGGCTGCCAGGTGATTGAATCAGGGCTCACCCAGGATTCCCAGGGGGTTCCAGAAAAAAATGGCTTCCATCTAACTTTTCCTGCACAGTACATACTGCTGGCCATCTGTCTTACCTGATGTCTCCGAAGCCACTTTCTGGGAAGGCAGATGCAAACTCTAGCATTTAGAATTGGTTCTGCGAAGGCCTTAACCTTGACCTGACCCCTCTCCTCTAAGCCTTCTGCGTACTACCTTCCCCTGGACACATCACATGGAGCTACCATGCTGCTCTCACCTGAATGGGAGTACTTCCCATGTCCTGTGTGCCTGCTGTTCCCACACCACACACACCAGCCCCAAACACACTCTCCCAAACAAGGAATGTGGATGGGGACGGAAATCACTAAAGCTCTTTAGCATCTACAGGGGTTAAGCCTTGTATGGGACTCTCCTTTTCCCACTGCTTTGACAGAAGATAGAACTCAGAGCTGAGCTTGTCCAAGTTATTGCTGTCAAGCTATATTATATGTTAGCTCCCTAGTCTAATTTTCACAAAGAGATGGATCAGTGAGGGGGCAGGGATAGGCTGGGAATTCACCTTTCCCTGCCCCTCATTCCTGGCCGCCTGCCCCTCCTTTCCCACTCAATTCTGCCCTCTTTACCTTTTCCTATAAATGTAATAGATGATTCAAATGATGATCAGGGTGATGAAAATCACAAATACATTGAGAATGATGGCCCAGGTCTCCAACCCATCTGTGGTCTTGGTTGGTGCAGCTGAGGCTATGGTAGGTGTGGTTGTGGCTGGGGCCGGGACTGTGGTCAGTGCAGCTGCAATGAAAACACAAGAGGGACATCCAATGCAGTACTCAATCCTGAGGAGACACCTCCTCAGCTCCTGATGTCCCAGGTAATCCTATGTTGCAGACATTTCTACCCTCTACGTGTGACAGCCACTGTGACAGATCCTGGAGTTGGAACAAGGAATGGAGATGGGCCCTGTCTCAAAGGGACTCAGAGAGCTAATGGGGGAAGCAAGGGTTACAATATACCCAGGCACTCCTGCTGTGACAGAAGAGGAGGACACTCACGAGGAAGGTAGGAGAGAAGTCTTCCCAGGAGCTGATTTGAGGTCATATTGAAGGATTTCCAGAAATAGGCCAGGTGAGATGAAGAAGAAAAGTGATGCTGAGAAGAGGGAACAGTAAAGAACAGGTCTGAAAACAGACTCCTGAGGAGATGAGAAGGGAAAGGAGAGATGGTAGAATACACCCATGGCCATTAGTCTCCCAAGAACTGACTGCAGACTAGTCACTTTTCAAACACACTCACACCCATTCACACACACGCTTACAGGCAGACACATACACACACACACACACATGCACACACACACACACACACGCACACACACACACATGCACACAAACATAGGTTTAGCTTATCTCAAGAGAACGACACCATCCCTATCTCCCCTGTTACCTGTTGTCTCCAGCTCTGTCTTCCTGTGTACCCAGCATTTATACAATTCCTTGCAGTCTCCATTTAAGATCATTTTGAAGACCTTGTTCATATCCTTATTATTCTCCCACTTCTTCTTCAGCTGTTCACCTAGGGAATTATCCGCTTTATATTCGCCAGTCTCAGAGTGAAAGGTAAGGAACCTCTGTCCATCCAAGGAAAACTCCAAGGACGGACTGATGCTTCCATGGCACATCATATTGACCTGCAGAGTGGAAGAAGCTGCCCCACAGCCCCATGGGAAAGAAATCAGCCTCTGGTCTTGACAAATGCTTTGTCCACCCGGTGTCCACCTCTTCTGAACACTTCTAACCCTGCCCTGCTTTCCCTCACCTTCTTGCTGGGCTACGTGGGAAGGCCCACCATCCAGTTTTCTTTTTAAATGAACACAATCCATACAGCTAGCCCCTCAATCTGCTTACTTCTGCCCTTGGATTTCTCAAACTTACCTCCATCTGCCTATTTCTCACCTTCAATGTCAGGCAGTAATTGTTGTAATTCGTTTCCCATGTTGTTCGTGGTATCTAACTCTCCTTCACAGGAATTAATGGCCTTTCCTAACTCTCTCGTGAGATTCATAGATATGACATTATTGTTGCCACAGTCATATAAATCATACAGCTTTTCATCCATAATTACTTGGACCATACACCATGGTTGTTTATCAGAAGAAATGTTGAAAACATAGTGAAGAGAGGGAGAATCTGTGAAGGAAAAATGCTGCTGAGGACTGGGGTTGGAAGGAAAAGACCCAAAACACCACTCCCCCATCTCTGTGACAGCGAGACAATCCCCGTGATGGCCGGGCTGGCAGAGCAAGGCCTGACCCTGCCCAGAGCCTCCCTTCTCCAGGGGAAGGTTGGGGCCCCTCCCTTGCTTGAGGAGGACCAGGAGGCCTCTGCCTGCCAGGAAACCACATCTCCAGATACGTCCTCCCTGTGTCCACCAGGCTAGTACTCATCATCAGCCCATAACCAATGCAGGGACATGCCAGGCGGCTAGGAGGATAGCTCTGGATGCCTGAGGGTTGTCAGAAACTAGCCCAGTACCTCCAGGACATGGAGAGCATGGAGGGGCTGCTGCTGGGGAAGCTGGGTGGCAGGTGGGGGGATGTGGATAGATTCCAAAGTTGGAGATGGGAGACTTTACAATTATGGGTGGTGGGATTTTGCATGGCCCAGGGAGGCAGGGCTAATTTGCTGCTAGGAGAGACCTTGCAAGCTTGGAAGAAGGCATGGCTACAATGCGTGTAACAGGAAAGCTAGAACTTCTGAGGCACATGGGAGGAAGGGACCAGAGGGCTCACAGACGGGAATATGTCAGGGGGAGATAATATGAAAAGGTCGAAAAGTGTCCAATCAACCTGCTCCCTGAGAAAGCCTGAGGCACCACAAACCTGGAGGCACCCAGTGCTTACACAGAAGGCATACACGAAGATGTCTTAAAGACAAAAACATCCACTGTCTCCCTTTATGGGAAAAATCTACAGATCTGCCCTAATACATCACCTCTCTAAGCTGCTGCCCCCGCAGTAGGTGGAAAACATAGGTTTGGGACCACCAGGTAGAGGGAACAGGTGTCCCTTCCTCACCAGCATCCTGGGGTCATACTTTGGGAAAATGCCCTACTGTCCCTCCTGCTCCAGGAGCTGAGGCCATGGCTGGTGTGTCCTCGGCAACAGGGATAAAGCGTCACTTAGCAGAGGAAGTGATTAGGCTCAGTCAAGGATAAAAGAGTATATAGGAAGCACTGGTTTGGGGGCCCTGAACAATTGGGTGATGGACCTGGGTGGGCTGATGAGGGCAGCAGTGGCTCCCAGGGGGCGGGAGGAGCACAGGCCGGCTGCAGGCAGAGGACGGGAGGTAGAACCTGCAGAGCTGGGCTCCGGGGGAGACCAGGCCAGTGACCTCAGCAGGGGTCCAAGTTCCCCAGAAGCATGACTGGACAGTGCATTGGGAACCGCAGCCGCCTTCCTGCTCTGCCCCCCCGGGGAGCCGGCTCCGCAGCACTTGTCCACGCTTTTTGTCCCCATCTTGCCCCCAAGGCAACGCTGCCTGGACGCCGAGGTGGGAGTGGGCCCGTGAAGGGCACTGAGGAGGGAAGGTTCTGGACCTGCCATGGGCCCTGTCCGCGAGTTTAAAGCTTCTGCTTCCTCTTTCCCGGGCCTCTCACCCGTCCTCTCCCCCACGCCCATCAGCGCCTTCCCGCCCTCTCCCCCCCCCCCCCCCGCCACATCAGCGCCCTCCCGCCCTCTCCCCGCGCCCCCCAACCGATTCCTCCCACCCTCTCTCCCTGCCCCCCATCAGCTCCCTCCCGCCCTCTCCCCCTGCCCCCCATCAGCTCCCTCCCGCCCTCCTCCCTGCCCGCTGCTGAGATTCCTGGGGACTCACGTCCGCGCACAAACAGCACCGGGAGCAGCGGGAGGAAGAGGCTGAACTTGGGGCCCGGGGTCCTCGCCATGGGAGCAGCCGCGGTCGGAGCGCTCAGCTGCGGAGAAGCGGACAGGCGAACAGGAGGGCGGGCGGACGGGCGAGAGGAGGCAGGGCGGCTCCGGGGGGAGGGCGCTCCCGGCGGGCAGGCGTGCGGCGGCGGCTGCGGGCGGCGCAGAGGCCGGGAAAGTGTCCCAGACCCAGACCCTTCCTCCCGCCTATTTCCGGGGTGTCGCTTTGTGATGCGGAGAGGAGGACCGGAGGCTACGTGGCTGCGGACTAGGGAATGACAGCAGATGGAATGCTAGGTTCGGCCCTTCAATACTGTCCCAGCCGGAACTGGGGGTGGCCCCGCCCCCCTTCCCTCCGCCCACGCACGCCCAGGCCCCCGCCCTACAGGTCCCTCCGTGCGCTGCGTCCTCCATCTTTTCTCAGCCACAATTTGGTCTGCTCCTCCCCAAAGCAGCCTCCCTGGACCAGAACAGACACACACTCAGTCCACTTCCTACACTCACCCCTCCCGCCTCCAGCAGCCAAGGAGAGGGGAAGGGAGATGGCTCCTTAACACCCAGCCTGACTGATGACACCCACAAAACCACCCTCACCCCACACTCTCCCAACACACTTTCCCACCCCAAGACCCTCCTTCCCTCCACCAGCCCACATGTGGTGAAGCAGGAACAGAGGTGCTATCAGGAAAGGGGAGCTGGGCAGGGTCTCCACCCACAGGCACCAACACACAACCCTTGCCCCTTCCCTGCTCCCACCCTTGGCCACCACAGCACACCCTCCACCATAACCATTTCTCCTCACCTAGGACTTCAAAGCCAACTCTTCAGAGGGATTACAGAACCTGTAACCCCAGGCACTTATTTCAGACCCTGCCCTCACTGGCCACTGCTCTTCCCCCAGCTCAGCCGGTTTTACCACCCAGTTCTTTGGGGTCCCACACCCACATTTTCCACCCACTGAGGAGGCACAGCATATGACGATCGTGGATTTAGGCTCACGTCTGCTGATGGTTTCTTTTTTCTTTCTTTTTTTTCTTTCTTTTTTTTATAGCACGCTCGTACTGTGGTTTTAATAGACGTACATGGACAAGTCGATATAGACATTAATAATCTTATACAGTCAGTCTGATATACACAAGAAAGCTGTAACCAGGGGCTCGGGCCGGAGAGCGGGTGTGCAAATTGGGCGCGGCGAGAGGCCGCGGCCAGGCCCGGAGGTCCAGGCTCGGCTGGGCTCGCAGCTCTGCGCCGGGCCAGGGGGTCGCCTCCCCGCCCGGGGCGGAACAGAGGGCCTGGGCCTGCCTGCGGGGGAGCCGGGGTCCTCAGAGAGGAGCCCACCCCATTCTCGCGCCGCACCCGCGGCTCCGTAGCCTTTCGTTTTCCCGGGCGCCAGGCCGCCGAGGGCTCCAGGGCCCTGCGTTCCCGAATCCTCCGCGAGTCCGCGCCCTTGGCCTCCAGGCCAGACACCGTCACCCGGCCCAACGGCCCTCCAACTCGGATCCGGTTCGAGCTAAGGTTCGCTCGGCCCGGCCCAGCTCGGAGGGGGCGTCTAGGTTCCCTGGGGCCGAGGCTGGGCGCGGGGCGGCGGGACCCGGGCACCGAGGGCGTCCCTCCCGGGGCCGCCGGGGCCGCCGGGGCCGAGACCGCGCCCGCGCGCCAGCCCGGGGGAAATTGCAAGTCATCGGTTTTGTGGTTTTCCTCCGCGGCCCTTGGCTCCCAGGTCTTTTGGTTTTCTCTGGTTCTGGAGGGCAGAGTGGGGTCCGGAAAAGCAAACACAAAACCAGCCCAGAGGAGGGGGGGCGGGGAGGAGAGGCCGGGCGCAGAGAGCCAGGCCCCGCATGCGCCCTCCGCCCTCGTGACCGGCAGGACG